AGTCGACACAGGCCGGGCTCCCCTCATAGCCGGGCGAGGCTATGAGGGGTTATCCTTAGTAAAAAGTATGTGTAAGAGCAAATTGAACAATAATACTTAAGTGCATCTGGTGGCCTATGTCTTTTGATATAGAGAAAAAAATGGCACTTCTCTATTTTTCCTTTATTCTCCAATTAAATCACACAACACGGAAAACAGTCACTCAGATATTCACATGCGTGCAGTCGCTCGTGTCGTTCAGACTCCTCTGATTTATCCCTTTCGTGTCTCTTTTTCCCGCTAAAAACTGCGGCACATCGCGATGCGCAAACGGCGATCACAGCACTGCCCCCTTCCCTCTAAGTGGACATCCTCGCTCACTCTCAATATTAATCACATCTCTACAAGAAAACCATTAAGATGCCGTGGTACTCTCTGGTCTCTACAGGGTTGCGAAGTTTAGCTGCTGCATCGCGTCCTCCAGGTACTCCTCAGGGTGTCACATGACGTCGTCCTCCACCTCTGTCCCTGGCTGTCTATCCTCCTTACTGTATGTATCCAGCGCCTCCTCAGGAACAGCAGCAATAATGTCGAGTGGGTCTTCAACTTGGGTCTTTCAACAACCTGTCTCCGTGGACCACCCGTGCTCTTGTTCCAGGTCGTCGGCGAATCCGGAAGGTTATTTCGGTCACACACTCAATGATGGTGTAATGCCCCTCCCAAGAGCTCTGTATCTTGGGTGACATACCTATCCCCTTCTGGGGGTTGTATAGCCATACTAAATCTCCTACCTTGAATTTGACTGCACAAGCATCCCTGCTGTAATAGTGTCGCATGCTCTCTCCTGCAAACCTGGTGGTGCACCTCCTCAAGTCGCATTTGTAACTTAATGGCGTAATCACTGATTGCTACAGGCAATTCCTCGTTTGGTGGCCTCCCAGTCACCATATCTACAGCTCCCTTCCCAACATTATCCTTGCAGGGGTGAAAGTGGTGGCTTTATGTTATGCAGAGCAGTATGCCATCAATAAGAGTGAAAGCTTGTTATCCATCTATCCTTCAGTACAGTACTTGGCTAGCTCCTGCACTATTGTCCTATTAAACTGATTGACCATCCCATCAGACTGTGGTCTCAGAGGCGTCGTCCTGGTCTTCCTGATTCCCATCAAGTGACAACACCCTCAATGTCTACAACTGCTTCATGGTTGGCAATAGGATAGGCTTCTGACCATTTTGTAAAGTAATTCCTAGCCACCAAGATGAATTTATTGACTGTAGCTGTAGCATCATTTTTGCACATCCTCACACATCCCACGTCTTGCTGTTTCCCATGTGTCCACTTGCCACACCATCGTAGTGTAAGGTGACATCCTAGTCCTCCTCATCTCGGGCTATCGAGAGCATCCCCTCGCCACTCGTTTCCCGTCGTTCGGCTGCGCCCGGATCTCGCTTGCTAGCTCCTCTTGTTCTTGGGGGAGGTCTAATCTTTTCGCTTGGCCTTTTATTTTGTTTTATTTTTGTAAATTTAATCAAGTTTCCCCTTTTATAGCCATTTTCTTTTCTTTTTTTTGTTCGATTTTACACAGTCTTTGAATTTGTTTCTTTCTTGAGGCACGAAAGTCTGTTTTTACTTGATTTTCTGTCTCTTGATTTAATTATTTTATTTCATATACATTATTATTATCTAATCTTTCGAGTATTTTATACTCGTCATCTTTTAGTTTTATCTTTTTGTTCGATATTTTTAATTTCATTTTAACTTGTGGATATTTTTTATCTTTTCTTTTTACGCTGTAAAAACATGTGTTTTAACCCGTTGGGTAAATTTTACAATTTTATAAATGTGAAAGATGTATAGTTCGTGACGTAGTTCATGACGTCACGAACACTATAAATACCGCCAAAAACGGCGCGAAATATACTCAGTTTTAGACCAAAAACCCTGTGTGTCATTACCCCTGTGTGAGCGGGAAAGCTGTGAAGCGGCCACGCCCCCTGAAACCGAGAAAAGTTAAATCTGTGGGCTGACGTTGCTTTATTTTCTGAGGAGCTGGACGTGATCCTTTGTTTTTATTTCATATATCTCTTAATCAATTAATCATAATTACATAATTTATTTTATTACTGTTTTCGAGATGCACTTAAGCGTGTTACTTTGCCTTTTCTCATACGTAAACGTTAAATAATTTCTAGTCTTTATAGAACGAATATATATCATGCCCATAGGTTGAACGTCAAGGAGTTGATGATTATGCTTGTTTTTTTTCTCTCTTTGTTTGTGTCTAGATGCTCACGTTACCACAACACAACATCTAGACACTGTGGACCCACATTAATATATATATATAATTAGCCACAGAGCGAAAGAGCACCTCACAGTGGCAACACCACCTGCCAAAACACCATCCTTCATCTTCGGGGCGTCCAACTCATGCCAGTAATTCTTGGTATCCAGGCTCATTAGAGCCACTGTCACCCAGATGAACGATCCTGACCATCTTCCATCCATTGCACTACTGGT